CGGGGCCTTCCCCGGAGCCCGACCCCAGGCGGCGCGGGGCAGAACCCGTGCTACGGCGCAGAGCCTGCCCCAGTTGTCCCGCCGCGATCCAGGTCGCAAAGCGCGACCCCTGGGTGCTTCCAAAGCCTCACCGTTCAGGTACCCTCCTGTGGAAGGCTCACACCCTCCCTCCTGGGCTCTTTGCTGTCACTCTCTCGGCCTTTGTCTGCGGCGGCCTCTGCGTCATTCTTGTCCAAAACCAGCCACCACACTGGAGCCGGAGTGGTCTTCGGAAAAGTCGCGTCTTGTAAACCTTTGCTTGGAGTTCTTCGTGGCTTCCATTGCCTTAGTCCAGCGGCCCTGTCCCGGTCTGCCAGGCCCAGCGTGATCCGCCCACCGCTCCAGTCCCCCAGCGCCTGAGACGTGCAGGGCGCTGTGCCTGGGGCCCCTGCTACCCGGGAGCCCACCGCCTGGCAGGAGACACAGTTACCTGATGGAACGGTGATGGGTGGCGCACAGGGAGCCAGGGAGGCCTGAGACTGGAGTGGAGGGTGGGCGGCTGGCTCAGAGACCAACTCTGCCCCTCCCCCGAGTATTTCAGCATTGGGCAGCACGAATATGTGTACACGTGCAGTGGCAAGGAAAGGGGGTGCTATTTCTTTACGAAGTTAAAATATAATTGAAAACTGGGTCACTTCAAACCTGGAGTAGAGGATGTGTGTGGCTGCTTCCCCAGCCAGTCCCTTTCCTGCCCAGGGAGTGCTCTGACCAGACCCAGACTCTGTTTTCATCTTTTGTACTTCATTCTATGTCTCTGACAAATTATTAGGGCTCTTGATATTTAACACAAGTTTTAAAATGTTTTTCAAGCCATTTTGTGCAATTAGCTTTTAGCTCTCAACACAGACTCTGTCACTTTTTTTCTGAATTTTAATCCAGTGCTGTCCACTGGGTCCCTGTGCCTGGCTCATTCAGGGGGATGCTCACGCAGTAGGTGACATGGTGACAGTGCCCCTCCCTGTAGCGCTCACAGTCAGTGTGAGAAGGGGGTGAGTTCTGCTCAGTCACAGAGGTCCGTGTGGGTCCATTCATGGTGACTCCTAGAGAGGAGAACTCGGGAGCACCAGCAGGGTCAAGTGAGCTGTTGCAGTTAGTTGTTTCTTAAAAGTTGCTTAGAGTGGGGACACTATCGGCAATTTTAGTGAGACGCTTCTGTTGGTATTTGGCTTCCCTGGTCTCTGGCCCACTGAATACCAGGGCCTCCTTCAGTCACTGACAACCAGAAGGTCCCGATGGACATCTCCAGAGGCCCTGAGGGGAGCCACTGCCGGCACGTGAGAGCCCCGGCTCGCAGGCATCGTTCCCAAAGCCGCAGCGCACAGCAGGCCCCTTGTGGTCTTAACACTTTGTGACGTGGGGTGGCTCGGCTTTTATTTCTATGACATGTAAAGTTTCATGAAGATAGTTTTCAAACAAACGTTCACTTAAGTGATTTTTCTTTAGAAGGGCTCTCTCCACCGCCTAGTATCTGTTGGAGGGGCATTCTCCTTTGGTGGTGTACACAGTGTCCTTGCCATTGACACCGCCAAGTGATCCAGCCGATGCAGGACTGTCCGCAGTCCTTGGGGAAGCTTGTGGGATGCTGGTGAAACTGATTTCTCGGATTCGAAGGGGCCGCCAAGTGGGAGAGTGCCATGTGATTCTTCTGCTCTGCTTGTGTTTTGCAGTGACTCGCTCAGCGCCCTCTGTGACGAGAGAGAGGGTGACTGGAAGTTTAGGGTGCCATCAGTGAGTCAGATCTAGTTTTCCTCGTGTTATACCAACATTTTTGAGGTGACAGTGATTGGTCTGCTTTAAATCCCACAGCTCAGCAGCTTGGTGTGCGCAAGCTTCGTGGGCAGAATCGTATTCTAGCCCCACACAGCCCTGGGGGGGTGTGCTCTTCACCCCGCTGCAGGGGACGCTCAGAGCAGAAGCGCTCCCGGCCCGCCGCCTGGCCATGCGTGTGGCACCTCACTCCCACAGCTGCGGTCGCTGTCAGTGCCCCCTGATTTAAAAGTACAGTGCTAGCGACCGATGCACCAGCTCATGCTTGCTGTCGCGCCTTCGTCTGTGGAGAGAGCCTGCTTCTGGCCAGGATCGGGGGGTTGGATACCGTGAACTACGACGCTTCCATTCGGAGACCTTGTTGTCCATGCCGCAAGATGGCGGGAGTGTGCGGTGTCTCCGCTTGATGTTATGTTTTACTCGTGTCTCGTCTTCACCGGAACTGTTAGCACAGTGGTTCATAACCTTTTTTGGGTCACAGAGCTTTCAGGAAAATTCACAGACAAATGATTTTGCCTTTGATTCCACAGGTTATTTGGTTACTGGGGACGCAGGCTGAGGACCTTGCGTAGGCACGTCGAAATGTTTATGTGAAGGCGCACGGTTTGCTCACGTGCGCTCGCTTACTCCCCTTGCATCAGCACTGTTGATGATAATGGCTAACTGGACCCGTCGGTGGGAGAACAGAAGCCCCCATGCAGGCCACTGCTCTCCCTTTGGGGGCATCAGTATAGAAGTCCCCATGCAGTCTGCTGCTGTCTTGTGGGATCTCAGTTATGGCTTTGACTCCAGTGAGTTACGTCCCTAGTGGTGAGACCCCAGGACACCTGGTAGCTGGGCAAACGGAGCCGAAGTGCAGCCCCACCCGACCCAACGCATGGGAAACGTAAAGCATGCTTAGCAAAGGCATCTGCGTGCAGGGCTAAGCTTGAGCAAGGAAAGGGATGCCCCAGGTGCCTGCGTGCAGGGCGGATGCGGAGGCGTGTGGAGCTGCAGCGGGACAGCGCAGGACCCGAGCACCGGTGTGGGCCTGATGGGCTGGAGCAGGGTCTCACTGTCCGTGCTGGGACAGGCGCAGTGGCTTACTCCTGTGCACAGCTGCCCGCATAGATCCAGGACCCCCGAAGGGCCCGGACCACCGTGTGCCAGCCGAGGGGAAAGCTCCCTGCGGGCCCTGGGCCTTGTGTGGTTGGAGTCACCCAGATTGGAGGCGGGCCCAGGCCTGCAAGTCCACAGGACACCTGCAAGCTCCCCGAGCTGACGCTTGGGCTTGCAGACTGGCTGGAGCTGGGGACAGGGTCACCAAGGGAGCACACCCACTGAAGGCGGTTTCCAGTAAAAGGTGACAAAGCACACCAGTGAGCCCGCCAGGCGGGAGGGGTGGGTTTGCCCTGGGAACAAGCCTTCTGAAGGAGACAGTTGACAAGAGGCCCTTCCGGGGGTGACCAGGAGGCGGGGTCCTCTGGCCCACATGATGATCAGGTTTCTCAAGGGCCTGATGTTGGCTAAGTTGATGGCTTTAAGCAGTGTTTGTTTATAGGGTTTTGTTTTCATGAATGACTTCCGTCTCACCTGCAGGAGAGTGTGTGGTGTTGTCTTCGAGCTGCAACCATGAGTGAGTTTCGGATTCACCACGATGTGAATGAGCTGCTGAGCTTGCTGCGTGTCCGTGGCGGGGATGGGGCCGAGGTTTACATCGACCTGTTGCAGAAGAACAGGACCCCGTACGTCACAACCACTGTGTCGGCACACAGCGCCAAGGTGAGTGCCTGTCCTGGCGCCGCGCTCTGTGCAGAGTTTGCCCCCCCGATGGGGCGCCCGCGGTGGTGGCAGACAGCTCTGGACAGGTGCTGTCGGTGGGCCTGGTGTTCTGCTCCGCTCGGTGCTTGTGCCGGGCCCTCCTAGCAGCTCTGGCCCCTCCCCCGTGCCGTCTGGTGATGGGGAGCTCAGGCGTGATGGCCGTCAGCCGGACCTCAGCCCAGACTCCTCGCCACCCCTGCTCCGTAGCGGGAGGGCCGAGACTCCGCTGGCTCTCTAACTCGTGTTCACATCTTGACATAGACCTTCCTCTGGACGAGAGCGGGGCTCCTGGTGTCAGCCACACGGAAATCCCTTTAAAACGGATTTTTTCTTTGTTTAAGAAAATACGTAATTCAAAATTACAGATCTGTAGTAAAAGATAACTTTGAAGTCTTTTTAAAAACAGCATAATAATGACACAAGGATGATTAGAAAAACTTACTGAGCAAAATAGAAAGTTTAGGAACACACAATTATGTTTAATTACTAGAAAGAAAGCATGATAAACGAGTAAGAAAACGTAATCCCTGGAGCTATACGGAATAACCAACTCCAGAGGGAATAGTGAAATACATGCATAAACTACTAGAAACAACATGGTTATTATCTGATCTAATACTTAGGAAGTACTCGTTAAAAAAAAACCATGCAGAAAAATGTGGTTTAACAGATTGGTTAATGAGTCTTTTTAATTTTATTTCAGAGATACATGATTATTTAGCCTACCTGGTTTCCCTGTATTTGGGCTTTTGTGTTTAATTTTCTGGAAAGGTTTTAAAGTTCTTACTGTTCCTAAATCACTTGTGTTTCTGTTTTTGAGGTTAAAATAGCAGAATTTTCTCGTACTCCAGAAGACTTCCTAAAGAAATATGATGAACTGAAATCTAAAAACACAAGGAACCTGGACCCTCTGGTGTACCTGTTGTCGAAGCTGGCGGAAGACAAGGAGGTAACCGTGCCGCGCTGGGCCCCCACGTCCGGAGCTTCCTTGCGGCGTCGGTCAGCGGGTGTTTCAACCCACAGGATCCGTGCAGTTCAGGTGACACTTCCAGGTTTGCTGTCACTGGTGCTGCTTCCCATTGCTGCCACGTTCCTGCCCCACTGTGGCATGTGCTCGTGGACTCGTCCTACCCCACCAGTGCACTGGAGGTCACGGGAACGCATTGACGGCGCGTTGGCGTGCGGATGACTCGTGGTGGTGAACACGGGGGTGTTCACGGCGCCGACCGAGGGGGCGCGACCTTTTGTTGGCTCATGCCGTGTTTTTGTCACTTTTAAGTTGTGTGCTGTGTGATATTGAGAAAAGCAGAGAGCTTTGTGGCACCTGGGCAGGTCCAGGGACGAGTTAGGTCCCTTCTGCTCTGCGAGGCCCGGAGTGTGTTCAGGGTGAAGGTGCAGCCAAGTGCGCGTTGAGTGCCAGCACCGGGGTCAGACCAGGGACCGTCAGGTGCAGAGAAAGGCAGTGCCCTTGGGCAGGAGTTGGGAATTGGCTTTTTAGACCGCTGTGGGGTTCCCTTGTGAGCGGGGGACGTGGCACCTCGTGGCAAGAAGCACTGCGAGACCGGAGCATGGCTCCAGGACTGACGGGCTCCTGCCCTCGCCCTGCATGTGGCCCTTGGGGTCGGGAGAGAGCAGCGGGAGCCGTGCCGGCGGCGTGACTCCGGGTCCCATGTGTGCCCAGACCCTGCAGTACCTGCAACAGAACGCAAAGGAAAGGGCCGAGCTCGCAGCCGGCAGCAGCAGCAGCTTCAGCACCCCGGCCGCCGCCTCCAAGATGTCCATGCAGGAGCTGGAGGAGCTGAGGAAGCAGCTGGGCAGCGTGGCCACGGGCTCCACCGTGCAGCAGGTGCCGTCATCTGCGCAGGGCGGGTCTGAGCACGAGACGCTGGTCAGGGCCAGCCACATGCGGATGGGGATCTTGGACTCGGGCGGGCTCACCAGAGGGGGCTTCTGACTGCCCAGGGCAGTCGCTCAGCCCTGCAGATCATCATGGTGGTTCTGCCAATGCAAACCACATTTCCCCGTTTCCCTCGTTGGTTTTTGACAATTTACCTCTTTAAGACTGTGCTTTATAATTTTTCTAGGCCATTTTTTTCTCTCCTGTGCCTTCTGCTTTCTCTTGCATTTGACTTCTCATCCTGCCCTGCTCTCTTGATGCAGGTCTGTCTGCTGGTGGCACTGCCCCTGTGGCCTCAGCCCGCACAGCTGTGTCCCCGTGAGGCCCACACTCTGAGCATGTGCTTGTCAAGCGCAGCAGCTCTGTGCTGGTTGGGCATGTCCTGTGTCCAGCACTTCACACGGTCCAACACTGTGCCCCATGGGACAGATGAAACTGTGTGCCCTTTCCCCCTCCCCTCTCCTGAGCTGGCGCGTCTGGCAGCCCGGTCAGCTCTTGGCGACCAGCCCCTCAGGAGGGCCACGCCCTGTGCGTGCGCCTGGTGCTGGCCTTCCTTGGTGTGGCCCTTTCTTTCCCTCCGTGCCTTGTACCCAGGTAGGGCTGTCTGTCACTGTGGCCTCATCTCCGCCCAGCAGGTTGTGTCTAGGCAGAGTACCAGGAAGAAGCGGTTGAGGCGCCATGTGGGTGTCCCCGGGACCCGGCCTGCTCTGGCGAGCTACAGCCTGGGGCGGTGCTCTTGCTTTGCCTGTGGGCGCCACACGGACCAAGGAGACTGAGAGACTGTCTCCGTCTCTCTTGTCGCCAGCTCCCTGTACTGTGAGGGGGCGTGGAGCCTTTCGTTTCATTTCTGTGCATGTTTCAGACCCTTATTGCGTGCTCAGTAATCGAATTTTTCGATGCTAGTGATGTTAGTTTTAGTTTTAAGTATTTGTACTAAAAGTATATCTTTGTTTTTGCTTTTGTAAATATCTTCACCAGTCCCTGGAACTTACAAGAAAGATGCTTCGAGACAAGCTGAACAAAAAAAATTTGGGCCAGCGCCTCCCAGTCTTCCCCGCATGGGTGTACGAGCGGCCCACGCTGGTCGGGGACTTCCTGACCGGCTCAGGCGCAGGCATGGACACAGCTGTGCCTATAGGTATGCAGAGTGTTTGTTGCTAACTGCCTGCGTGCTGACACCAGGGACAGATGGCCCTGTGCTCAGATCCCGCCCCGCCTCAACAGGCAGATGTGTGAATGTGGGCGGTGTGGCATTTGCGACATGAACCGAGCGGTGCAATGCCATCTCATGCCGTCAGGCATCCGTTTCCGGTGCCCCCAGGGGTTGGGGAGTGATCTCTTGGAGACAACTCTCTCCTGTGCTGCCTCCAGCACCCTGCACTTGGCCATCTGTCCCAGCAGGTGTCAGGGAGGACACCAAAGGTTTTGGGGCTGGGAGCCACCTGGGCCATGAGGCATTTGGTGGCGACCCTGCTCAATGGCCTGTGACTGTCCTCAAGGCCACTGGGTGGTTGTCGGGAGCCACCTCACACTGTGTTCAGATAGGAACTGCGAGCACATCCAAGTCTTCAGAGAAAACCTTGGTGACGCAGAGCAACCCGACCGCGTGTGCTATAAGCAGGGCCGCGAGGGCGGCCCACACTGGGGCTTTTTAAGTTCCGACCGTGTCCGTGGAGTGTCAGGCCCTCACCTGGGCGCAGAGCTTTCCGCCCGCTTGGCGCTCAGAGGCCCTGACGCACCTCTGGGCTCACCTGGCCTGCTAGGCAGGCAGCGCCTTTCCTCCAGCTGGTTTCGGAACCTCAGCCTCTGGTGCCCTGAGGGTCCGTCAATGCCGGGTGAACAGCGTAGTTCACGTCCACATACACTTGAGCAGGCGACATAGGGTTGGGCAGCGGGGGTGGGGGCCTTGAGGCCAGCAAGCGGCCCTAGCGGGTGTGTGCGGCCCACAGGCTCCCTGCCCCTGGCCTCCCAGGAGCTGGCCGTCGTGGAGGACCTGCTGTACGTGCTGGTGGGTGTGGACGGCAGGTGCATCGCCGCCCAGCCCCTCACCGGGAGGCAGGGCCGCACCTTCCTCGTGGACCCCAACCTGGACTTGTCCATCAAGGAGCTGGTGAACAGGATCCTCCCGGTGGCCGCCAGCTACTCCACCGTGACCAGGTAGGTGCTGGACGCTGCCCCTTGAGACGCACGTGGCCTCTGGAGCCCGTCGTGACCCAGCTTCACGACTGGCACAGTTCCAATGGGCCTGGGCACGTGCAGGACCCGGCATTTGCCCCTTGGAGGACGTGACTTGGAGTGTGCAACCTCCACCTGGAGGCATAGCTGTCTCCTCAGGTGCTTGGCACGCCCTCTCCTCGCAGGTTCATTGAGGAGAAGTCCTCCTTTGAGTACGGGCAGGTGAACCACGCGTTGGCAGCCGCCATGCGGACGCTGGTGAAGGAGCACCTGATCCTGGTGACACAGCTGGAGCAGCTGCAGAGGCAAGGCCTCCTGTCGCTGCAGAAGCTCTGGTTCTACATCCAGCCGGCCGTGCGCAGCATGGACATCCTGGCCTCCCTGGGTACGTGCCTGCGCGGCGCCTGCGGGGCCCGGGATGCGTGTGGGCGGAGTCGCTGACCGAGGGGTCTTGGCACACAAGGATGGGGCCTGGCCGCCGGTCGTCGTGAGGCCAAGGCCTCTGTGGCTTTTCGTCTTACTACTTGAGGGAGACCGGAAGGTCTTTACTGGTAAAATATATTAGCGACTAGAGCACCTGTCCCCACAAGGAGGCCGCAGACGCGGTTCTGCCGTGGCCACCCCTGCTCGGCACTGAGCGCTGCCTCCTTGTAGCCACCTCGGTGGATAAAGGCGAGTGTGTCGGGGGCTCCACCCTGAGCCTTCTCCACGACCGGAGTGTCAACTACACGGGCGACAGCCAGGCGCAGGAGCTGTGCCTGTACCTCACCAAGGCCGCCAGTGTGCCCTACTTCGAGATTCTGGAGAAGTGGATCTACAGGGGGATCATCAACGACCCGTACAGGTAGGGCTGGGGGCAGACGGGTGTGTGGGGCACGGGGGAGGGGCAGGCAGCTGGCTCTTAAGTAGCCCGTTCTGTCACGTGGAGGACGAGAAGGTGGCCCTGTGCTTGAGGGCACAGAACATGTGTCGGCTCACAGAGAATTCTGTTACACTGAGACGTGTCAGAGTATTTTAAAAGTAAATTTGGGGTCTAGGAATAGTGTTTCTGTGCTAATGACCCAGACGACAAAGTCTGGTGTGATGAGTTTAATGAGAATAGTGTTTAAGGTCGTGGTGCTTATAAACGGCACTTGAGGTGCGGTGTGATGGTGTCTGGTCTCTGTTGGAGACGGGCACATGTGCCCCCGACCTCATGTTTTGTGGCCTCCGAGGTTCACGGTGGGAGGAAATGCTAGGTTCCAGTCAGAGGCGGTGAAAAGGAAGACCAGTCCGCTTCCCCTCCGGCTCTGTGCCCAGAGCGGGGTGGGCGGGTTTAACTCACGGGAAGGGGCCGAGGTGAGACGGCGCCCGGCCGCCCTGCGCCCTTGGCCCCCCTCCCGCCGTTAGCGGCGGCTCCCACAGCGGAAGGCGCGCGCTCGGCTGTGACCTCAGAGGCCTGCGCTTTTCAGCGAGTTCATGGTGGAGGAGCACGAGCTGCAGAAGGAGAAGATCCGGGAGGACTACAATGACAAGTACTGGGACCGGCGCTACACTGTGGTGCAGCGGCAGATCCCGTCCTTCCTGCAGAAGATGGCCGGCAAGGTCCTCAGCACAGGTGGCCGCGGGCTCCCGGGTGGGCGTGCATGTGGAGGGCAGGCCCTAGTCGGGCTGCCTGTACCTGGATGCTCGGGTTGGCTTCATTTTGTCCCCTGACCGTAGGAGGCTGTCTCGCAGGTGCCCCTCCTTCCTCTTCACTGTGCAGTTTCTAGAACTGTCACCACTCACAGGGAAGCTGACGCTCTGCTCCCAACACTTGTGACACCAGATGTATGGCTGTTCCCTACCAGCACTCAGGTCTCCTGGTCTCTGCCCCACCAGCTGGGGGCCTTACAACTCACGTCAGTCCTGATGGGAGCGACCTGGAGAGAGCGTCAGGCCCACAGGCTAAGGGCTCCCTCAGCCCCACGGGACTGCCCCCACCTACGTGCCGATCGCAAGCAGCAGGTCCCAGGTCACCCCCAACTTCTGTCTACCCCCAACTTGGCTACAAATTGGGGGTTCCCACAGCCCCTCCCGGGTTCTGTCCGTTCGCTACGTGGCTCACAGAACTCAGGGAAACACACGTCTGCGGGTTTATTATATCATAGAGGACGTGGTCAAGGGCAGAGGCGAGCGGCCAGGTGAGCAGGTGTGTGGGGTGAGGCCTGGGGGGTCCCGAGCATGGGAGCTTCTGTCCCCATGGAGTTGGGGTGTGCCACGCTCCCCGCGTGGATGGGCTCGCCACCCGGACGCTCCCGGAAGCCTTTGTAGCGTTCCTGAAGGCCCCGTCGCATAGGCATGTCGGTTAAATCCCTGCCTTTGGTGACTGATTCTGTCCCCGACTCTTCTCCCCTCCCCTGATGTGAGGGTGGGGCTGAAAGTCACAGCCCTCTGATTTGAGGCTGGTTCCTTTTGCCACCAGCCCTAGGGGCTGCTAGTCACCTCATTAGCATAAACCCAGCTGTGGTCAGAGGGGCTTAGGAATCACAACAAAATTCCAGGGGCTTTCGGAGCTTGGTCTAGGAACAGGCACGGAGACCCAACACGCTTTCCTTGTTAGGTCTCAGTATCACACAGCACGATAGCCAATGCCATGGGCGTGGGCTCCTCTGGGCTGACTGTTCTTGGTCACCGCCACTGGGGGGAGTTGTGTGAGGACAGGCTGCCAGGGCCTGGCGGTTTGGCTCTGAGCTCAGCCGTTTGGGACAGGCTGGGGTGACTTAGAATCTGGTTCTCCTGTGGTGTCTGCTATTGCTGAGAAAAATCCTAGAGTCACAGCAGACCACAGCGGTGGCTTCCCGCGCCCCCTGCCGGTGACAGTGTGGTCTCCGCTGAGGACAGAGCAGGCTCCCAAAACCGGACTCCAGTGTGGTCTCCCTCCAGCTGCGCCTGGGCCCCGCCCCCCAGCTGCAGGCGGGCAGGTTACTGCCCCCAAAACGCAGTCTCATCTGCCCCCTGTCTTGTCAGGAAAATACCTAAACGTGGTGAGAGAGTGCGGTCACGACGTCACCTGCCCAGTGGCCAAAGAGGTCATCTACACGTTGAAGGAGCGGGCGTACGTGGAGCAGATTGAGACAGCCTTTAACTACGCCAGCCGGGTGCTGCTGGACTTCCTGATGGAGGAGCAGGAGCTGGTGGCGCACCTGCGGTACGTGCCGGCCCCAGGCGCCCAGCGCCGCCACGACCGCTCTGTGTGCCCCCGTGCTGGTAGCATGACCTGGCGCCGTGGTCCGAGCCCCTGCGGGGGACCGCTGTCCACTTTGGCTCCTCTGAAGCTGACGCCCAGTCACAGTCGCTCTCGCGGAGCTGCCTCCTCCAGAGCTGCGCTGTCCTGGGGGCCAGGAGGCTGGCTGACCTCTGCCCCTCACCTCCTCCCCCACAGGTCCATCAAGCGCTACTTCCTGATGGACCAGGGGGACTTCTTTGTGCACTTCATGGACCTGACGGAGGAGGAGCTGAAGAAGCCGGTGGACGACATCACGCCCACACGCCTGGAGGCGCTGCTGGAGCTGGCCTTGCGCATGAGCACCGCCAACACAGACCCCTTCAAGGACGACCTGGAGGTGGGCGGCGACGCCTGCGCCGGGGCTGGGCGGATGCCAGGGCTTTCCTTCACAGCGTGGTGACTCGGCGGTGTCCGTGTTGGCCCCGTCTGGTCGGGGCGCACAGCCCTTCAGTGTGCTGCGGGGTTCGGCTTGATGGTGTCCTGGAGGCTGTCTGCGTCCGCGGTCACCGGGGACTTTTCCTGCAGTGCCCGGTGGCCGTGTTCCGGGGAGCGCGGCCTCTTCTGGGTCCTAGCGTTTCGGGGGGAGGGGCGGGTGCTCCTCAGTGCTTAGTAGAGTCCACAGTGGAGCCGGCTGGCCCCGGGCTCTGTTGTCTCCAGTAGCTACTGTGCTCCTTTGTCCTTCGTCCTTCGTGATGGTCCTCGTTGTTACTTTTTATCACGTCATTCTTTTCATCAGTTTACAGGGACTCTGTCACACTGTCCCTGTTGGTAGTTGGCACTTAACAAACATTTGAATAAGTTAACATCGCCTGATGGCTCTTACATTTTCACCAGATGTGCTCTCTACGTTGACATGGGCCTGGTGCTCGCTTGGTAAAGGTTTGAATCCTAGGGACCCAGGGTCCCTGCCTTGCCCTTGTGGCTTCTCGTTTGTGCTTTCGGGTTCCTTTTAAAGTGATTTCTTTCCCGTAGTGGATTGATTTTTGAATTAGGACTCATCAGACATTTGGTTTTCTCTAAGCAGCTTCCGATATTTAGACTCTGTAGAAGATCCTCATCCAGCCCTGGATTTGCCTTCTGGCTCTGATGCAGAGGCGGGGTGGGCTGGGGCGAGTGGCAGTTCAGGGCATGATCCTTTTTTCCACGATAAATCCTCGGTTAAAACCAAAGCATTTTCAGTTGTTGTCAGCATGCTGTGTTCCAGGCGTGCAGCGTGGGCTCGGACACTCACACCTTGCGTGGCAGTCACACTGGCACTGTCTGTCCCCCAGATCGACCTGATGCCTCACGACCTCGTCACGCAGCTGCTGCGCGTTCTGGCCATCGAGACCAAGCAGGAGAAGGCGCTGGTCCACGCCGACCCCACCGAGCTCACGCTGAGCGGCCTGGAGGCCTTCTCTTTCGACTACGTAGTCAAGTGGCCCCTGTCACTGATTATTAACAGGTGGGCCCCAGCCCCTGGGGTGAGGGCGCCGGCTTCAGCAGGTAGGCGTTTGGGTTTGTCAGGGAGAAAGGGTCGCGCCTGCCAGCGGCTGACCCGCTCTGTGCGTTCAAGGGGCTCCCTGCACCGGTCATGTCCCGTGGGGTCCCCGACGGCCCAGCAGGCAGGGCGCAGAACCGTGTCAGCGGCCTCGCAGCCAGCTGTTGTCTGGTGCCAGCGACCACCACCAGCTGCCGCCCTGTCCCCCGCAGGAAAGCCCTGACCCGCTACCAGATGCTGTTCCGGCACCTGTTCTACTGTAAGCACGTGGAGCGACAGCTGTGCAACGTCTGGGTCAGCAACAAAACCGCCAAGCAGCGCTCGCTGCACTCCGCCAAGTGGTGCGTCCGCGCTCGCCTCCCGCTCCGCACGGGCAGAGGTTTGGTGACGCACGTCACAGCCATGTGTCACATGTCGCATGGCAGTGCGCGCGGTCGCTGACCACAAGGGATGCGGGTCTGTCCCTTGGCCCCTGCTCAGCCCTTTGGGATGGCGGGTCAGTCTGAGCGAGAGCCCCCTGGGGCCTTGGAGCCCCTCACGGTCAGGGCGCACGGAGGCGCTCTGTCTCCGCCCGTGACCAGCTACCGTCCAGCTGCGGGAGCAGCGTCATGCGTGGTGCTCAGGGCAGGCGCACATGCTGCGGCAGGGTTTGTCAGACACTGGGGCAGCCCGGCCCCTCTGTGACATCCTCACACTCACCCAGGTTTGCAGGCGCCTTCACTCTGCGACAGCGGATGCTGAATTTTGTCCAGAACATCCAGTACTACATGATGTTCGAAGTGATGGAGCCGACCTGGCACGTCCTTGAGAGAAACCTGAGATCCGTGAGTTCTGCCTTCACATGCCGTGGCCCTGAAAAGGCTCTGCGCCGACTGGCGTGTCTTTGCGGGGAAGGCGCTGGCTCAGGTGTCATTCCCCGTGCAGAGGGGGGTCGGCCCCAGGAGGCAGCGGCCAGGCCTGCGCACGTGCGTGCAACGAAGCGGTGTGGGTGTGCCCGCGGTACTGCGTTTGGGGGCGCCCCAGCATCGAGCCGTTAGAGTAGCGTAGGCCCCGTGCCCTCTGGAGGAGCCCTCAGCTCTCAGAGCTGGGCCCCAGCACCCGCCAGCACCTTCTGGGCCCTCCGGGACCTCAGCCTGAAACCAGCCGTCACCAGATTCCAGAAGCAGCACTTCCTTCTCGAGTCCTGTCTTGCAGAGTCAAAACCGTGGACTTTTGGGGCGTGTTCAGTGTCATTTTCTTTTAGCGGTAGTTGGAAGATTTCCCCTCAAAAGAACGCAGGGTCACTTAGCCACGGAAGCGGAACAGGCAGGCAGGGCTGGAAGCGCAGCCGTGCCTGCGCGGTCAGCGTCTGACACAGGCCGCTCTCGGGCAGGCCTCGAACATCGATGACGTGCTGGGCCACCACACGAGCTTCCTGGACAGCTGCCTGAAGGACTGCATGCTGACCAACCCCGAGCTGCTCAGGGTCTTCTCCAAGCTCATGTCCGTGTGCGTCATGTTCACCAACTGCATGCAGGTGCGCCCCGCACACCGCCCTCCCTGCTCTGCCGGCTGCTGTCGCCGAGCGTTGTCCTGAGCCCGGCTGGGCGGCTGAGGAGGGGGGCCGCCACAGGGTCTGTCCAGGCGGTTTTCTGAACGCCTTACGTTCCTTTTGTTAGAACCTGAGTTGTTTGATTCCATTTTTCTTGGGCACCTATTCCAAGCAGCCACCCAGAGGTCAAGAAATTCGTGTCAGGCAGCAGGAGGGGTGACACGGGGCCTCGCCAGGGCTCACTGGGGCGTCTGAGCCGGTGGGGCTAGCGGGAGAGCCGGTGACAGGACAGGAGCATGTGAACCCGAGTTCTCAGATGTTTAGGAGTCATCTGAGGTTGCAAACAGGTGACCCCACAAGAAGAAACTTCCCGGAAGATAGGTTTGTGAGTTCTACCCACAGAGTGCCAACGGCAGTGCCCGTCTGCGGCCTTCCCGGGGGCTGCCGCGTCCCCGGTCTGCAGTGGCCGGATGCAGGGGCGTGTCTCCCTGGGAGCTGGTGGGCATCACTAAGGGAGCGTTTCCTCCTGCACAGCGGTTTACGCAGAGCATGAAGCTGGATGGCGAGCTGGGCCGCCCGGCGCTGGAGCACGGCACCATGCTGGGGCCGCCCACCGAGGCTGAGCGGGCCGAGGAGCGTGCCCGGAAGGAGCTGGCCCGGAAGGTGTGTGGCCTTGCGGGTGGTGCGGGCCCGGCACCTTCACAGGAGATCTGACCGTGCTGCGGACCAGCCCATGGCTCCTTCCCCTGCTGTCTCCCTTCGGACTAAACGGCCACCTCAGAACTGGGTTGTTTGCAAGGTGGGGTTGTGTCCAGGGCTGAGCCGTAGGGACGCTCAGCGGAGGGATCCCTGACGGGGGAGGGGGCACCAGCGTGGGCCCCACAGCGTCGGCCAACAAGTGTGTGAGCGTGTCCTGCGGTCTCAGGAATTTTTATGGTGCCTCAATTTTATGTCTTTTATCACTTGAAAACTTTTTGAAACTCATTCTGCTCTTTGAAAACAAAAGAGGGAGGGAGGGAGGGAGGGTGGACAGGCCGGGGTGCTGGCAGGCACAGCTGGGCCCAGTGTCCGTGCCAGGCTTACCGTGCCCGGCCATGTCTTCCAGCATCTGGCAGAGCACGCGGACACACCTCAGCTGGCCTCCGGCTTCGAGGCCACCATCAGTAAGTTTGATAAGAATTTCTCGGCCCATCTGCTTGACCTCCTGGCCCGACTGAGCGTCTATAGCACCAGCGACTGCGAGCACGGCATGGCCAGCGTCATCTCCAGGTGGGCACAGGCAGCTGGCCCTCCCCGCGTGCATCCCGAGAGGCGGGGCCGAGGCCTCCCTGATGGCCCCCCGCCCTGCTGCCCTCCCCCACCTTCACCCCTACCCTCAGGGCACCACAGATGGGGACAGGCCAGGTCTGCTCAGGCCTGAGAGTGTCTGTCCGTGGCTTCCTTATGCTGCTGCTGGTCACTCGTCACTCCTTGCTGTGATAGTGCACGTGTGTACTGCTGTGTCTTCCCTGGTGTGTGACATTTGTGTGTGTGTGTGTGTGTATTTGCTGGTGTGTTTACTGCTGTGTGCACTCACCAGGACGTGTCCGGCCGCTCAGCAGCCCCCACCCGGCCTGTGCTGGGCCCCGTCATAGGCCAGCCTCGTGCACCGCCGTGCTCTCTGAGCCAGGACCCAGGAGCCCTGGGCGGTGCGCAGTGCAGCGTCTCCCCCGTTTAGGGGAGCAGTGAGGAGGCGGCTGAGGGGATGGGGCCGACCGTGCTGGCCGAGGCGGCACTCACTAAGGCTTTCAGGTTTGGGCCCCTGGGGCTGGCCGTGCCTCCCACATCGTCACCACCTTTGAGGGTGCGACGGTGCAGTCCTGGGGGGCACACCCCATGACGCTGGCAGCCAGCGTGCAGGTCCCAGGGGTGAGCAGGCGTGGACAGAACCTGGGGGTCCTGGTGGGGAGACCTGTGCCTCAGAATAGAACTGTACGTGGTGCCAGGGCCGGCGGGTCCCGCTGCCCCACACAGCCTGGCCTCGCCCCGGACACCCGGCTCCTCTACAGGAAGCCCATGGATCTGCTGTCCCCAGTCCCCACAGCGGGGCTGTCCTCACCCCGGGAAGTTGCCACCCACAGGCGGACGTCCTGGGCACAGGGATTTAGAGGTGCCTCAGCCTGTGCCACCACCAGGCCCCTGCTGCTGGCACAGCTGGGTGATGAGAGCTGCGCGTCTGGGGCACGGTCTGCCTGAGCGTCCGGTCGGAGGCCTGGGCGGCCTGCGTTCTGCTTTCACGTGTTTCACTGCGATCTCAGTGCTGCTTGAGCCAGTACAGGCTGCGTGGGACCTCAGGCATGTGCACACGCGTGCATGTGTGGGTGTGCGTGTGCACATGTGCTGGTGGCTCAAGTGCCCCTTGTACCCGATGCAGATCTGATCCCTCACCCGTGGGGTGGAACGGGATCTCCCCGCGTGCCCGCCCCAGGGGGGCACTTCCACACCCCGGCATCCCCACAGGAGAGACCCCAGCCTGCCCTCACCCTGCAGGCTCGACTTCAACGGCTTCTACACGGAGCGCCTGGAGCGCCTGTCTGCAGAGAGGAGCCAGAAGGTGGCCCCCCATGTGCCCGTCCCGCGGGGGCCCCCGGCACCAGCGCCCAGGGTCGCCGTCACCGCGCAGTGAGGCCCTCAGGGCCCTGCACCTGCCACAGCTGAGGGGAGGACCCAGTGGCCCGTGGGCGCGGAGAGTGAACGAACCCGAAGCTTCTCATCACGCTCCTGGCTGTGTGTGTCGTGCATGTCACTGGCGATTGAGTGTGAGGTCTGAACGTGGTCTGTGTTCAGCCTTCCTCCCCCGGGGCTGGGTTTCGCCCAGCAGTGCTGCCCAGACAGTGCTGTCCCCACAGCGTGCCTCCCTGTGGGCTCTCGTCAATGGAGCAGCGGTACTTCTTTGGTTAATGGTTTTTGGCCTCAAATAAAAACAAAACGAAAACAGTATTCGAGCAGCATCAAGGTAACTCCCAAGATACCTCACAGGTGGAGACCGGCTTCTGCCTGCCATCTGTATGTCCACTCCCGGTCCAGGGGGACAGGAGTCGGGCTTTGTTCCTGGCGCTAGGGAGCAGCAGCTCCCCATCCTGCATCCTGGTCAGGGCTGCAGGGCGGGCAGGTCACGAGGCACGCCCAGCGAGGAGCATCCTGGGGCTGTGACTAAGTCCACTGTCCCCTTAGGCTGTCCCTGGTGGGGCTGGGGCTGGGGCAGGACGCTAAGTCGCTAAGTCGGTGTGTTCTGCCCCACCCTGCTTCATAAACCTGTGGCTCCCCCTTGGGAAGTCACCTGCTTTCCCAGTTTGGCAGTAGGTGGCACGCCAGCCTTGGGTGTGTAGCTGCTGTGAACACCACTGAACCACTCTGCTGCTATTCCCAGCAGCTGCTCCTTTCTGCTGAATTTTGCAAGTTATTTTCAAAATTTAGTTCAAATCACCTGGTCCTGGTATCTGGCAGATGAGGATCAAAAAACAGAAGCAGCCTAGGGCAAGGCTTAGGTGGTGCTCAGCCTGGGCTGCTGCCTTGCAGGGCTGGGCAAGCCACAAGCTGCTTGCTTTTCTAATCTATAACACGAGCAGGAGCAGCCAGGCTTATCTGCCAACTCAGATAAGTCAGGTTGCACAGTCACGGGGTTACGCAAGGCAGGGACTGCACAGGAACCCACTGGCCCGCAGGGCAGGCCCTCTTGCCTGGCCCCGAGGCCCGGAAACCCAGTCCCTGTCCTGGGCTCTGGGCAGTGACTTCCCACCTCCAGGTGGTGACGGCACCGGGAGCATCTGGCGGCACCTGGAGTGGTTGGTGGGGACACGTTAGGTGTGTCCTGTACACTGGAGGGGGTTCACTCGTCGCAGGAGTGGCTCTGCCCGCCCGCGTTGGTCCTGGCAGCTGCTGGGAAGTCCCTGTCGGTGAGCACAGGGGTCTGGCCAGCTTACAGTGGCTTGTACAGGACATATGGCCCTCAAACGTCCAACTAAGGTGTCAGAGCACCAGGAGTGGGAATTTGTGTGGCCCCAGGGATGGAAGCTCTCGGGCCAGCACCTGTGCTGCCCAGGAGCCGCGCCCAAGATGCCCAAGCCTGCGCTAGTCCCCCTGCCTCCTCTTCACTGGCCCACTGAACTTGAACCTCTTGTCTGGAACTGCCCATGGACACCACACTTGCCCTCAGCCATGGCCATCCTAGGGAGTGTGTCAGGGATGCAGCTCAAACCCCCCAGGCTGCGAAGGACAAACGCACTTGGCCAGCTGAAAGAAGCCTGGGTCCCCTGGTGACAGGGACCCAGTTGGGGAAGCCTGGATGTCAGGCTGAAGTGGGTGGCCCCTGCCCCCAGGACAGGGAGGGTAGAAACCAGGGGGTGCTACCAGTGGGCAGGCAGCCCCCACCACCTCTTGAGGAGATGCCGGCCTTGTCCCCAGGGACCCTGTGGACAAGCCTTCTGGGAGAGGCCTCCACCCCCTGTGAAGGTGAGGTGTACGCATTTCTTGTCCCCTGGAGGAACACTATCGTCACAGGATGGCGAGGATGGGGGGGGCGGAACACCCCCACGTGGCTGCGGGAGCTCTCTCTTCCCCAGGAAGTCGGAGGGCACATGCCCACCTCCGGCCAACCCCCAGACAGTCTTGCACAAGTCACTTCCCCTCCGAGGCAGCCTGGCTGGCCACTTCCCCTTGCAGGCCCCGTGGTAGGGAGGGGCTCGGGCCAGTGTGCTCACCTGGCTTCCTGTTAATTTGGGTCACAGTGTCAAGCTTTTCCATATACTGGACAACAGACATGGGCGAGAAGGGACGAGAAGTAGCCACAGGGGTACCAAACTGCCCCTAGGAGGAGGATGTTGGGGCGGGGC